AGAAACCATTTATATGTAGGGACTGTGGACATAGATTTAAAGATAAAGCTAATTTAAATTTACATATAATTGTCCACACTGGACAGAAACCATTTATATGTGAAGACTGTGGACATAAATTTAGCTGTAGGGGTAATTTAATCACACACATGAGAGTCCACACAGGACAGAAACCATTTGCATGTGAGGACTGTGGACGAAGATTTAGCCGTAAGGGTAATTTAAAAACACACATGAGAGTCCACACAGGACAGAAACCATTTGCATGTGAGGACTGTGGCCATAAATTTAGCTGTTCGAGTAATCCAAGCACACACGAGAGTCCACACAGGACAGAAACCATTTGTTTGTGAGGACTGTGGATGCAGTTGTAACTGTAAGGATATTTTAATCTCACACACAAGAGTCCACACAGGACAGAAACCGTTTGTATGTAAGGTCTGTGGAGAAAGCTTTAGCTATAAGGTTAGTTTAAACACTCACGTGAGAGTCCACACAGGTCAGAAATCATAAGGACTATTTAAACTCTCACGTGAGAGTCCACACACAACAGAAACTGTTCGAATGTGTGGTCTGTGGACAAAGATTTAGCCATAGGTTTTGTTTAAATAAAACACGTGAAAGTCCACACAAAACAGAAAGCTCAAATTCTGGCTGGTGGATATGTCCCGATGTCTGCTCAACCCAGGCCCGGCGTGTCTAATCGGGAGGATCTGGACTTCTCCCGGTGGGCCGGTCTGACATTTGGGCTGCAAGGGCCAGTATAACTTAGTTGTGGATCAGATCACTTCTACGGCTTTCCCTGTATTGCCTGTCATTTATATGATACAATGGCTTGCCATACCCCCAGGGCTGCCTCTGCCTCTAATTGGCATCTCTCGTAATTTTTTCTTTTCTTTTTTCCTAAATTGTTGTTTTGCACTCTGACATAACACGTTAGCGCACGCGGTCAGTAGTGTTTGAAAGATGGAAAGAGCAAGCAAGGTGCGGAGAAAGTTAGAATTAAAAAGAGGATACTCTTATGCAGAGAGAAAAAAGATAAGACAATGGCATCATTAGAATATTATAACAAACTTGGAGCACAGTGAAATATGTTTTTATTCTTTATTCATAAGGATTAGATATCTGCAAACACTAATTTGCTTAATATTTGATATTACAGAAAATTACATTCTGATGTAAAGAACAGTGTAGAGATTTGTAAAATCTAAGTTATGATGGAACTGTTTCTTTGTAGAGGAAAAAGAGATGATAGTGTTATTAGAAAGTCCAATACTTTATATTTTTTGATTTAATATTTTCTTTATTCCATTATTTCACTGCACCTATTTGAACAAAATACAGCCTAGATTCTGATATTGTTGAAAAGGATGTGTTG